TAGTCTCTCCTCATAGGACAATCCCACCAACTACTAAACACAAAAACGTTTGATGGATCTATATTATCAATACCATTAATAATCTTAAATACCTCAATCAAATCTACTCTGACCCTTCTCCTCTCCAGAGAAAACAAGTTTAGAGATTTTAGTCTCTCCTCATAGGACAATCCCACCAACTACTAAACACAAAAAAAGTTTGATGGATCTATATTATCAATACCATTAATAATCTTAAATACCTCAATCAAATCTACTCTGACCCTTCTCCTCTCCAGAGAAAACAAGTTTAGAGATTTTAGTCTCTCCTCATAGGATAATCCCACCAACTCGGGTATCATGACTCTTCTCCGAACCTTCTCCAATAATTCAATGTCTTGAGGAAGGGAGCCCAAAACTATACACAATACCCTAAATGAGGCCTTACAAATGATCTATACTGTGAAACAATATCCCTTGTCTTGTATTCAATATTTCTATAGATGTTACCCAAAATCCTATTAGCCCTATTGCTAGCTACAATACACTGTTTAGATGACTTAAGTGATTTTTCAATCACAACACCAAGATCTTTTTCTTCAACCACAGTATTTAATGCATTCCCTTTCAAATTTGAATTGTGAAAACCTACATGCATCACCTTACATTTTGGATAGTTAAACATCACCTGCCATGCATTAGATCCATCTAAACCTCCCTGCAAGTCTGCAGCATCTTTGATACAGTTAGCCACCCAAAAAAAATTTAATGTCACCTGCAAACTTCAATATTTGGTTAGTCATTCCAGAGTCAATATCATTAATTTAAATCACAAACAGTAGAGGACCCAGCACACTGCTTGTAACTGTGATCCAGTCAGATCTAACTTCATTTATTACTACTTTCAGCTTTCTACTCTCCAGCCATTTTTCTATCCAATTTAATAACATTTCCCCCACACCCACAGATTTTATTTTTGTAACAAGTCTTTTGTGAGGCACCTTATCAAATGCTTTCTGAAAATCAAAGTAAATCAAATCCACAGTAACTCTTGCAGTAACATTCTCAACGAATGCCAGAAGATTTATTAAACAAGATTTTTCCTTAGTGAAACCATGCTGGCTCTTTGACACTATATCAAACTGCTTTAACCCTTCCATTACAGGCTGGGTGGAATCCACCCAGCCCGTAACCATGAAAGTATCCATGAGAGTAATTATACTATGATTTTTGATAATGTAAGTACATCTTTAGAAAATTCTGCAGGTTATTGGTAAACAT